AAAATTAAAGCGAATAAAATGAGTGTAACGACCAAAATTCTAGTATTTGATTTGAACGTAGGATTAACAAACGAAAGTCTATTCGATAAGGAAAAACTACGTTCTTCTGTATAGCGTACGGACCATTTTTGAGTAACTCGTGCCAAATTATGTCGAAACAAAAACTTCGTGCTCAACTTTTTCGGTTCTAATTTAAGCAAGAAAACGAGTTATATCCAGAGTACAAAATACCTCAAACGGTACAGGCTGTGCTATGCAGTCAAAATTTTCCCTACCACAAAACAACGTGCTCAACAGCAAGAGAAATGATTAGTAGGTAATTGTTTAGCACCTGAAAATCAGTAGTAGTATTAATAACAAGTTGAAATATATATTTATAAAAATTTGAGTAACTGTCCCAAACTGACAATCAAATGTCAATAATTATCAACTAAAACACGCCTTAAGCTCGAGTTTAATGAAGTACGACACCAGTATCAGTGGCTTTGCAACCTACAACAATGAAATTAGGTAATAAAGGTAGATCTTTGACCAAATTCAACTAATAAAAGTTCAGACAAAGAAGACTGAAGAATATGAAACATGGTTGAAAGAGACCTGAGCAAAGGTTAAAATAGAGTACAGGGAACAAGAACAAGGAAATAACGATATAATTCAATTAAACAATATGAAGCATTTTTAGCTTACCCAGTTGCTCCTGGTATGCATTCTGTAATAACCTTCAGGGCACAAATTGATAAGTCTGATAATGGAACGCTTATTACTTCCTTTCCAACCTCTTCGTGCATCAGCACTTCAGCTGAAGTAACAGAGAGTTAGCTCAAAATGTGGGTAAGAACTTCACACAAGGTTTAGTCAACGTGCAAAATATACAAGTCAAATTTAGATTCGTACGTGATCTTCTTGTTGTGACTTTCTGGGCCGCTTGTTACCATGTAATATATTCGCCAATCAAACCACGACTTATTCGCTCTTATACTGTACTAAACCAATGATGTTCGAACGGTCTGATCAGCCTAGCGTCCTAGGTTGTATGCATTCGCAATATTCATGATGCGCTGTAATATTATAAAAATAAATTAAAATTACTAACAAACGAGTAACGTATATTAACAACAAGAAATAATATCTATAAAACATTCTTTAGAACTAATTGATTATGAAACCGGAGAAATAGCAACTGTAAGGGTACCTAAGGAATAGGATTAATTTCATAAAATGAAATAACGATTTTATTTTATTTTCGCCCAAATAACTATTTCCCATCAGACCAATGTGTTGTGACTTTATGAGCCGCTTGTTATTACGTAATCCATTCGTCAATCAAAATACGACTTATTCGCTCTTATACTGTACTAAGCCAATGACGTTCGAACGGTCTGATCAGCCTAGCGTCCTATTGGTCCGTTGTTCGCCTAACCCGTCCAGCTGAGTTCAGAATGCCAATAACAGCCTCCACTATGCGAATCATTTATTTCAAACATACTGGGTTTATATACCAAACAAACAAACCGCAATGCAGCATAAAATAGGAAATAACATTCATATACAATAAAGCCAAAAAGTGGCTGTGAATGTGAGAGGCAGTAGTCAATAAACTGAACATAGCTTAAGAACAGTAAATCGTACAATAATAATACATAGGTCGAAATAAAGCTTATAACAAGGGGAATATAGATATACATAACCTGGTTACTGAATATTTATACCATAAGAATATATAAATATTATTAGTCCATTAATAGGTCTCGGACGTTACTCATGATGTAGTCTTGACTAGGATATAACGCTTCGGCTTCTGAGATTTTCTGGAGAAATTAAACATAATAACAGCATAGTCCATTATAATCAAAGACACGAATTGTCATTTCCTAAATGTTATTTAAGAGTTTAAATCCCAAATCGATCGAATGAAACATTTCCTGCCGGGTTTTGGTCCTTCAGAGAAATTGATGAGGGATATTTCGGGAACTCTTGGCGCAACTTATTGTGATTATTATTTCGTTGAAGGCTGTGGGAATGTAGTGTTTTAATGATTAGATAAGTGTCTGTAAATTAAACCAGAGGTAGCTATCTCTCTTGACAATGTTCGCGGTGATCTTAAGTACGTTGCGCACTGGAAGTAATAATTTGTCGTAAGAGCTTTATGTGGTTTCCAGTGTTAGTAGAGATAGTGACACTTGAAGAGACTGTTCAAATCAATTTTTCCAGCACATGAATGGTTTGTTCTTTCGACGCAAACATTCCACACTTTAGAAGAGGTGTTTTAATCCCAGTAGGCTTTATTGAACTACAGAGTTCATTGCTAATGATATGGGGATCCGTGGCTTGACCTACTGAAATCCAGGTGATATATATATATGAAGTCAATCAAATATCAACGTTTCCCATGCGACGTCGACATTATTTGCGGTCAGCAAGGGAAATGAAAAATACCTCATTTCCAGTGAACCTTAGAAGATTAGTTGTGTAGAACATGGTTAAATATTCTTTCATACAGAGCAAGCGTTTGATCTAGATATCACAGAAACTCGAGCTATGCATTCGAGTTACGGAACAGACTGGATTTGTCGAGTATGTAGGCTTCTAAGAATTTATTGTGGCGCGATAACGATAGTCATAACTTTTTCATGAACTTGACGTGTTTATCCGGCATAGCATTCAGTAACTATTGGTGACACTAAAATCATGGACTCGAATTATACATTCTGAGCTTTTTGAATATAGAAAGTAAATAATTGGTAACGTGGCAGGAGTAACGTTCAGAGGCTAGTGTCCAAGCAGTAGGAATTGTAGCGTGACGTCGAGTCGAGATTAAATATGAACACCGCTACAGAGACACACGTGCCAAGTAAATCAGAAGGCGAAGGTCGAACGCAACCAAATAAATCCATAAAATCTCCGAGAAGCCAAATATCAGAAGACAGTTAATGGACCAAATAGAGATATATTCTCTGGCGATCTCGTGACATCGAAAGGATACCGAGATCGTGCCAGGATACCAGCTTGGTTACAGAACGTAACCGAATTCGCGCGAAGTCACAATCAAAGTGTAAGAATAAGAATGGAAGCACAATATAGCTGTCATTAGCACAGTCAAACAAAAGCACATTAAAACAAACACTGGTACACTTGGTTATAATAATAATTGTTTTTATTGAACCAGTCGTGTTCTCGTGATAAATGTGAGTCACTACAGAATAAACAAAACTGCATAAGTGGTTTCTATGATGGAAATACACATTTCAATGAAACTAATGTCTAAATAATATTATGTGGTTTAATTTATGCTAAACAACGATAAAAAATACCAAAAATGTTTGGAGGATGTAATAAACTGAGTGCAATTATGAGCGCTTTTGATAAAAGTCCTGTGGTCGAACAATTTGCTATCTCAATATTACGGAACAGTTTACTTAACCACTATCCGCTGGTTGTATTTTCATCATATCATATTATAATGGTCATTCCAATCATTTGATAATATTCGGCTACATCAGAGCAACACAAAAATGATAAAGTTTACTTCCCAAGACCTCACCATAATGTGATTACAGCAAGAAACTACGTGAGTCAATCACATAGTAAATGTGAGCATCTTTCTCACCAAAGCAAAATAATATATTGTTTACGGTCAGAAAAGTGAAGACGAGTTTGACATGACGAAATTTTGCACTGATGTCCCAATCTCCTACATTGACATGTTCACCGACGTTCTTAGAAAAGAAGTTAAGTATGACTGAGTGGGAAGATATATTTGAATTGTAGATAGAGGTTAGTAGATTACATTTTCTAAGCTAGGAGGTCTCGGACGGAAATGCGTCTCACGACAAGTTGAAGCCTGACCTATATCTGACGTTTGGGCCGGCGTATTCAGCTAGTTGTGTTCTCAGTAGAATAAATATGATCACTACCACTGCCCATCGGTTGAAAAGTTATTAACTGTGGTGAATTACTGATTAGCATGGGGATAAATCATCATAAAGTGAAAATAATAATATAGGTTGAATACCCCTAGCAAGTCTGGAAAGTCGATGCACAAAATATCCGAAAACTAAGACTAAAAAAAATGAAATAGTGAAGTTTGGAAAGAACTGGAAGATATTTTTTAGTGTACAGATCGACCCACCACTTGAAAGCTCCTCATACACAGGAACTAAATATTTCTAATACAAGGCTACCTCATACATATACAGAAGACAAACAGAAATGGTCTAACTTTTGGAATTAGTAATATGCTTGGTTCTAAACAAATGCATAGATCACTAACGTAGATGATCTATGTCGAAAGATTGAAGGCCTACTCGAGTTAGACGGGAGCAGTGTGACTAGCAGCTAACATCGAAGTCACATCTCGCAGTCAGGACCTAACGAGGCTTACCTCACTGTCGTATCAAGGTACTACTGCTGCTTTGGAGATCGTATAACACAGAGGACTATATTACAGGATTATATTAGAGTAGGAATAAGTGAAATTGTGATCACTACCACATGGGCCAGTTCATGGTGTACGATTAATTGTTGATTGCCCGTGACGTTTACAGTGGTTGATGATCTATTTAATATTTATTTACCCAACTGCCGGATGATTTGGTCAGGGCTCAGGGACAATTCACTGGTCCTACACATGCAAGTCGTCATGGGAATACTAACATGGGCATTTAGAAGTTGAAAACTAGTCTCAAAAGCTCCGCAACAGAATATAGCCTAGATCGCTGATAGAGTTTTTCAACTAAAAGTAATTATTAAAACCTAGGTTGGCGATTCCTGCAACGTATCGATAGTTACTAACTCTTGTCTGTATGCTACATCCCTACTCTGGGGGGAATGACTGAGTATCAGAAAATCAAGCACGATAATATTCGTTAAAGCTATAAATGACATTAGGTATGACTGGCATACTATTACCATCAATAGTAATTCAAGTATGCGATTTCTTCGGGTGCATACTGAACATCGTACGTTTTTAACCGCGTATTTAACAGTAGTGCCAACGTACGATGGATTTCTATGATCATGGATACGAAGAGAACAAACTGTGAGTGTGCTGTAAATGTGAAATAAAATTTCAGTAATTTCAACGAGTCAGGGTTTGACCTCGATTTTTACAGCTTATTGAGCGGGGGTGAAGTGCTTTTCATTCACTAAAGTTACTTTAGTTTGAAGTAGCTGTTTATCGAGTTTCACAGTCAACGATTAGACTGTGTAATCAGTCTTTCGTAGGCGAGACTTAGTAACTGAACTTTATGGGTATTTTTGTCTTTGCTGATGCAAATATGAGACGGTTGTTGTTTCATACTTCAGGAGTGATAGGCATAGGTGTAGAAAAGGATGTGGCGTCCTTCAGTCTTCAGTAATAAGGATAGGAGGTTTATCGACCTATATTAATCCTTGCAGTTTGTAATACTGTGGAGGTCCAACCTCGTTTTGAATATATTAACAGACGGTGCTGATATTACGTGTTCCGGTAGAGAATTCCAGTAATTCACTACTCGGTGCGAGAAACGGAACTCCAGACGTAAACGGTTTGATCTCGGTTTTTGAACTTTCTTCGAATGTCCTCTCAAATGATCGGTTCTAGACGGAAGCAAAAGATAAGACATGTTAATACCAAGGTCATCGTTCAGTATACGATAAGCCAATATTAGATCACCCCGTATTCTACGGTAAGATAACGGAAATAAGTTAAGGTGTCTCAGTCTGTCTTCATAAGATAGGCCAGATAGACCTTGTACCATCTTAGTAGCTCGCCGTTGGACTCTTTCTAGCATATCTGCTTCATACTTGAAACAAGGACACGCTGCTTGAATCCCGTATTCTAAATGTGGTCGCACATAAATCGGGTATAGTAATCTAAACATTTCATCATCTAAATACTGGAAAGACCTACGAATTGACCATAATACCCTATAGCCTTTTGCAGCAGCAGCCTTACAGTGACTAGTGGTTTTGAGATCATTGCTTAATATGACTCCTAAATCTTTATAGTTTCTTACTTTGGGTAGCACGAATCCACGTAGTGTATAGTCATACGATTCATCAGAGTTATTTAACTGCATCACTACACTCTTATTAGGATTTACTTCTAGTGACCACCTGTCTAACCATGCCACCAATGAGCTAAGATCGTCCTGTAATACCATTCTATCCGACATACTATGTATGGGTCTCCAAATCTTTATGTCATCAGCGAAGAGTAGAACGGATGATTTTGCTACAGTTGGCAATTCATTTACATAAAGTAAAAAGAAAAGAGGACCTAGGATTGTACCTTGGGGAACCCCACTTTTTACAGGTACCCACGAGGAGAGAGCCTCATTAACCCTTACCCTTTGTCTCCTGTCATGGAGAAAGTTACTTATCCAATCGACGACTGTATAATGGATTCCAAAACGTTCCAGTTTGAATTTAAGACCAGAGTGGGAAACCTTATCAAAGGCTTTACTTAGATCTATGAAAATCACATCCACAGGAACATTCCGATCTTTTGCCGCAGCCCAATCTTCTCTTGCAATGAGAAGATTTGTCAAGCAAGATAGGCCTTTCCGAAAACCATGTCGTGCCCTGGAGAAAAGATTATGCCCTTCAACATAGTTTATAACAGCTATCCGAATGATTTTCTCCATCAGTTTTACAACTGCACTAGTTAAGCTAACGGGTCTATGGTTACTAACTAAATCCCTACTCCCAGCTTTATACACCGGACTTACTATGGCGTCTTTCCAGTCTCTAGGAAGTCTGGACTGTCTCAGAGACATGTCGAATAGTATCGCTAATGGTTCAGCAATTTCATCTGATATGGCTTTCATAATCCTAGGATGAATATCATCAGGACCACTGGACTTATCAGGTTTGAGATGCTGAAGTAGCCTTAAAACAGTACCTTTCTCAATGACTACAGGATCCATCAGCGAGCCGTCACGGTCGCGATGAATCGTTGGTCGTTCCTCATTACCGATAGAAAATACTTTACTAAAATATTCCGACAAAGCTTCAGCCTTTTCGGCATCATTTTCTGCTAAGATTAACGGATTATCTCGTATCAAAAGTGATGGAATTCCATCGCTTCTCTTAGTTCGCCTTTTTATACACGAGAATAACCGTTTCGGACTATATCTAGAATCCCTAACCAATTGTTTTTCGTATGATAGTCTAGTCTTACTCATTAACGCTTTACAGGCATTCCTAATCTTACAATAACTGGATCTGTATTGTTCTAAGCCAGTAGAGATGAACATATTCCAGTGATTCTTCCTTTTTCTAAGGAGTTTCCTGACCGTTTTAGTTATCCATGGTGGACTGTTAGTCGGTCTTCGCGGTACCAGGTATGTTATGAACGGGAACGTAACTAGTCTAAATTTACCTTTAAATACAGACCATGCTTCTTCAACTGATATGCTAGTATCTACTAACCAATCTGTCTTAGCGGCGCGTTCCTGAATGGCTGATATTTTAGCTTTCCATACATTTGGGCGAGGTGTAACCTGATCGTATAACATGTCCCTAGTTCTAAACGCGAATGACAAAACAGCGTGATCGCTGTTCACTAACGGTGGAGGAATATTTAAGTCGACAATATCCTCAGTCTCATGAGTGGTTACCAAGTCCAGCAGAGAAGAACTCTGGTTAACACCAAAATGTGTGGGTTTGGATAAATGCTGCACTAATGCATGCTCCATTATTGTTATCAGGAACCTACTATCAAAGGAGTTTATAGATCCTTCTGTGGTCATCTCAGTCCAACTAATATCAGGTGCGTTAAAGTCTCCTATTATCAAGCATCTGATATTTTCACTCCAAAGATGAATGTGCTCTAAAATAAAGTCATCAGCTAAGCAGATTGGGCTGCGATAGATGACACCTAGCATAAATGTACTACATCCTATAGCCAACTTACAGCTAATGACTCAAATTGTGAGCCAAAAATTGTACTACCAAAATCTGATGCTAAGAGTGAAACCCATCCTGGCGTGACTGAGAAGAAAATCTAATAACATCGAATATTACTGTGAGGAAATTGTGGGAGTCAAACGACCCTGATCGGAAAATTAGACACGCGCATGACTTAGAAAAGCTAGGAGAATACATTCATAGTATTTTACCAGATAACTCCAAAGGAGTTCAGGTCAGAAAATTGGTTAGAATAGGCAAGAGGACCGAGGACAATGTTGAACCCCGTCCATGCAGACTCCTTAAGGTAATCTTAGGATCGGAGAAGCAACAGGATCTCTTGTTAAGTAGCGCTCGTTGTCACGACAATTCTGACATCCGAGTTAGACCTGACATGTCTCTCGAAGATAGAATAAAAAGGAAGGAAGCACTAGCTGAACTTGAAACCCGTCGGAAAAACGACGAGGGAAATCTCCGGCTAGTGGTTTTTGGATAGTCAGGTCTTGGAAGCGAATGCTACCAAGGCCTGTGTGGATAGGCTGTTCTACTTAGGAGTTTTATATGCCAACGCTCGTAGTCTACGAAATAAGTTCTATGAACTAGAAGCACTAGTGGACAGGTTAAAGCCACTCATAGTAGCAGTGACAGAAACTTGGTTAGTCCATGACTTATACATTACTCCAGAATTATCCGGATACCATTACATCAGGAGTAATAGACATAGATGTAGAAAAGGAGGCGGCGTCCTGTTATATAGCCAATGGCATAAATATCCGCTCCTCTACTAGCGAATCCCATGATAACGGTACTTGTGAAGTCATTAGCTGTAAGTTGGCTATAGGATGTAGTACATTATGCTAGGTGTCATCTATCGCAGCCCAATCTGCTTAGCTGATGACTTTATTTTAGAGCACATTCATCTTTGGAGTGAAAATACCAGATGCTTGATAATAGGAGACTTTAACGTACCTCTGCCAGGGAAGTCCTACTCATTGCCTTCTCGTGGCGGGGGTGTTGTTTACGAAAATGAGAGGACGAAAAGCGAATGTCCGGCGCTTTAACCGGATTCCAAACCAATGGTGCACATGGGCTCCAGTATCCTGCGGGAACAAATGGCGTATGAACCAATCGTTGGTCACCGGCTACCATGGGACTGCATCTCCTTACGATGCTCCACTGCCTTGTGGGTTAGACCTTTAGGTCAAAGGCTCGGGGTGTGGCCCCCTAAGATAACCACCTGCTTCGGTTTGGGCACCCGGGCAGTATCACAGCCCACACACAAATGATGAACTCTTTATGTCTATGGAAATTACTTTTCTCGCTTTGAAAAACAATCAATTGATTCAAATTATTATCATTACAATTATTGTCATTATTAATACTATTATTATTATTATTATTATTATTGTTATTATTATTATTATTATCCACATTATTCACCCTCTTTTATACTTATACAGCGGCTCGTCTTTGGTGGAAATTCGACTGTATCTAAACGTTCTCGAGTCACTGTCCGGTTGAAAATTGTATGTTACCACCGAATACGAGGACTGAAGCAGTTTTTATGAAACCACGTGCACCATTCAAACTGGCTGCCTTCAACGTTCGCACATTTATGCAGGTCGGACAACAGATAGGGCTGGCTATGTCTTTGGAAAGTCTTAATATCGATGTTTGTTGTCTATCCGAGACCCGTATTCAAGACTCTGGCGAAGTACTACAAATTCGATCTCCATCTGTCGCTTCGAAAAGCTTGTTTTACGTGCGCTTATCCGGGGACCCTGTGGCATCTTCGTCTGGTCTTGCTGGCGTTGGTGTCGCACTAAGCGCTAGAGCTGAGGCAGCACTAGTCGATTGGATCCCCATTAACAGTCGGTTATGTGCTGTTAGATTAGAAAGTTCCATCAAAGTGAGAAGAAATCGGCGTGAGAAACGATGTCTTTTCGTCATCTCCGCCTATGCCCCGACAGATTGCAGCCCGGATGCAATCAAGGATGAGTTTTACCACCAGTTATCTGTTCTTCTCCAGAAAGTGCGTTCGACAGATATTGTAGTACTAGCCGGAGACTTGAATGCTCAGGTCGGGCGTCTAGGCACAGAAGAGAGTCGTTTAGGTGGCCGATGGGGACTCGTTGGTCGCAGGTCAGATAACGGGGACCGTCTACTGCAACTTTGCACAGACCACAACCTGTTTCTGGCTAGCACTAACTTTCGGCACAGTCATCGCCGATGTGCCACCTGGCGTCCTCCCTCTGCATCTCAAGCCTGGACTCAGATTGATCACATCGCGATCAGCTACCGCTGGCGTGGTTGTGTACAAGACTGCCGCTCCTTTTGGAGTACCTATCTGGACTCTGACCATGCCTTGGTCTGCGCCAATCTTGCCTTACTTTTCAGTGGACAACGAAGTGACGCCATCAACGGATTGATGTTAGCAAGCTGGTTGCAACTTCTGTTGCAAGTAAGTATCGAACCGAGCTAGCCTCTAGGCTAGCTACCACTCCACCGAAAAGTATAGATGAGCATTGGTTGCAATTGCATGACGCCATGAAAATGGCGGGAACAGTCAGTTGTGGGTTTGCGAAACGTCCCGCTTTTAAGCACTGGGTTTCTTCTGGTTCCTTACAACTCATTGAAGCCCGTCGGTCTACTCCGGGTGACCGTGAGTTTGACCATAAACGAAGGATGTTACGTAAGGAAATTGGGCAAAGCTTGCGTAAGGACCGAGAAGCCTGGTGGTCGATGCGTGCTAATGAGCTGGAAGCAGCAGCTGCATCTGGTAACTACCGGAAGCTCTTCCAGCTCATCCGAGCCACTGGCAGCAAGAAGTCTGGTGTGAGTGAAACAATCTGCGAGGATGATGGGATGCCAATCACTAACATCCATCGACGTCTTGGACGATGGGCAGAATTTTTCGAAGGGCAGTTCAACTGGCCTGCTGCTCCGGCAACATCGGTCAGACTGTCCTGCCCTCCATGGCCGGTGACGACTGATCCACCAAACGAGGAGGAAGTCCGCAAGGAACTCCAACTCTTGAAGCGTTACAAATCACCTGGCCCAGATGACTTACCTCCGGCTCTTTTTAAAGATGGTGGTGACTTTTTGACTAAGGAATTGACGACGTTGTTTACAAAGGTTTGGGAACTAGAGAGTGTACCAACGTCATGGAATGAGTCGATAGTTGTCCCTATCTTTAAAAAGGGTTCACGTCGTTCCTGTAACAACTATCGGGGGATAAGTCTACTTCCGATTGCGTCCAAGCTATTGGCTTCCGTCATACTTCGTAGGTTGTTCAAAACCCGAGAAAGATTGACTCGCGAGGAGCAGGCTGGGTTTCGTTCTGGTCGAGGATGTATTGATCATATCTTCACCCTCCGCCAAATGTTAGAACACCGCCATACTTATCAAAGGCCAACAATCGTAGTGTTTCTTGACATCAGGGCTGCCTTCGATTCGTTGGACAGGACTGTTCTCTGGGATTGTCTATTGAAGAAGGGTGTGCCTGAGAAGTTTATTAACATCCTAAAAGCCCTATATAAAAACACCTCAGGCAGAGTGAGGGCATACAACCACCTCTCTCCATTGTTCCATTCGAGCAGTGGGGTTAGGCAGGGTTGCCCAATCTCACCATTCCTCTTCAACTTTGCCATCGATGACATTCTGGAAACAGCTCTGATGAATGTAAGTAATGGTGGTGTGGATCTGTTGCCTGGAGAAAGACTTCTCGACCTTGAGTATGCGGACGATATTGTCTTACTGTGCGATAATGCCCAAGGCATGCAATCCGCACTTAATCAGTTGGCAATCAGTGTCCGTAGGTATGGTATGTGCTTTGCACCTTCGAAGTGCAAAGTACTTCTACAAGACTGGCAGGATTCTAATCCTGTACTCACCCTGGATGGTGAGCAGATAGACGTAGTCGAGAAGTTCGTGTATCTGGGTAGCTGCATAAGTGCTGGTGGGGGTGTGAGTGATGAGATCAATGCACGAATAGTGAAAGCCAGAGCGGCTTATGCCAATCTGGGCCACCTTTGGCGCCTTCGTGATGTTAGTCTGGCTGTAAAAGGTCGGATCTACAACGCGTCGGTGAGAGCAGTTTTGCTCTATGCTTGTGAAACCTGGCCTCTCCGAGTTGAGGACGTTAGACGACTCTCTGTGTTCGATCATCGCTGTCTCCGAAGGATTGCTGACATTCAGTGGCAACACCATGTCAGTAATGCAGAGGTTCGGCATCGTGTGTTCGGGCACAGAGATGATAATGCAATTGGTGTCACCATCTTGAAACACCGACTTCGGTGGCTTGGACATGTTCTCCGAATGTCGTCCCAGAGAATTCCACGTCGTGCATTATTTGCCGACTCTGGGACTGGTTGGAAGAAGCGGAGAGGTGGTCAGTGCATGACATGGTGTCGTGGTATGAAAGAAAGCTGCAAAGGACTGGCTTGTGTTGGTCCTTCACGACTCCCTGGTTGGGGTCCGAGAGATGGTGCTACACAGTGGCTAGAGACGTTATCAGATATGGCTCAGAATAGAAGCCAGTGGCGATCCTGCTGTAACCTTCTTTTACTTTCTTCATAAAAAGTGGTTGTGTCTCCCTTACCTGAAAGATTTCTTCTGATTGTACCTTTCCGTTCCCTCGTTACTACCACACTACCTTACACCAATCTCTTCGTTATTGTTCTCTTTTTCTTTTGCGCTCCTTAGTTTTTTTTTTTATTTCTCTTCGAATTCTCATTGTTTTGTGTGGCGCATATATATTGGCGCTCTCTTGTACCAATATTCATGTGTTCAAATAAATAAATAAATTAACGCACCTGATATTAGTTGGACTGAGATGACCACAGAAGGATCTATAAACTCCTTTGATAGTAGGTTCCTGATAACAATAATGGAGCATGGATTAGTGCAGCATTTATCCAAACCCACACATTTTGGTGTTAACCAGAGTTCTTCTCTGCTGGACTTGGTAACCACTCATGAGACTGAGGATATTGTCGACTTAAATATTCCTCCACCGTTAGTGAACAGCGATCACGCTGTTTTGTCATTCGCGTTTAGAACTAGGGACATGTTATACGATCAGGTTACACCTCGCCCAAATGTATGGAAAGCTAAAATATCAGCCATTCAGGAACGCGCCGCTAAGACAGATTGGTTAGTAGATACTAGCATATCAGTTGAAGAAGCATGGTCTGTATTTAAAGGTAAATTTAGACTAGTTACGTTCCCGTTCATAACATACCTGGTACCGCGAAGACCGACTAACAGTCCACCATGGATAACTAAAACGGTCAGGAAACTCCTTAGAAAAAGGAAGAATCACTGGAATATGTTCATCTCTACTGGCTTAGAACAATACAGATCCAGTTATTGTAAGATTAGGAATGCCTGTAAAGCGTTAATGAGTAAGACTAGACTATCATACGAAAAACAATTGGTTAGGGATTCTAGATATAGTCCGAAACGGTTATTCTCGTGTATAAAAAGGCGAACTAAGAGAAGCGATGGAATTCCATCACTTTTGATACGAGATAATCCGTTAATCTTGGCAGAAAATGATGCCGAAAAGGCTGAAGCTTTGTCGGAATATTTTAGTAAAGTATTTTCTATTGGTAATGAGGAACGACCAACGATTCATCGCGACCTTGACGGCTCGCTGATGGATCCTGTAGTCATTGAGAAAGGTACTATTTTAAGGCTACTTCAGCATCTCAAACCTGGTAAGTCCAGTGGTCCTGATGATATTCATCCTAGGATTATGAAAGCCATATCAGATGAAATTGCTGAACCATTAGCGATACTATTCGACATGTCTCTGAGACAGTCCAGACATCCTAGAGACTGGAAAGACGCCATAGTAAGTCCGGTGTATAAAGCTGGGAGTAGGGATTTAGTTAGTAACCATAGACCCGTTAGCTTAACTAGTGCAGTTGTAAAACTGATGGAGAAAATCATTCGGATATCTGTTATAAATTATGTTGAAGGGCATAATCTTTTCTCCAGGGCACGACATGGTTTTCGGAAAGGCCTATCTTGTTTGACAAATCTTCTCATTGCAAGAGAAGATTGGGCTGCTGCAAAAGATCGGAATGTTTCTGTGGATGTGATTTTCATAGATCTAAGTAAGGCCTTTGATAAGGTTTCCCACTCTGGTCTTAAGTTCAAACTGGAACGTTTTGGAATCCATTATACAGTCGTCGATTGGATAAGTAACTTTCTCCATGACAGGAGACAAAGGGTAAGGGTTGATGAGGCTCTCTCCTCGTGGGTACCTTCAAAAAGTGGGGTTCCCCAAGGTACAATTCTAGGTCCTCTTTTCTTTTTACTTTATGTAAATGAATTGCCAACTGTAGCAAAATCATCCGTCCTACTCTTCGCTGATGACATAAAGATTTGGAGATCCATACATAGTATGTTGGATAGAATGGTATTACAGGATGATCTTAGCTTATTAGTGGCATGGTTAGACAGTTGGTCACTAGAAGTAAATCCTAATAAGAGTGTAGTGATGCAGTTAAACAACTCTGACGAATCGTATCACTATACACTACGTGGATTCGTGCTACCCAAAGTAAGAAACTATAAAGATTTAGGAGTCATATTAAGCAATGATCTCAAAACCACTAGTCACTGTAAGGCTGCTGCTGCAAAAGGCTATAGGGTATTATGGTCAATTCGTAGGTCTTTCCAGTACTTAGATGATGAAATGTTTAGATTACTATACCTGATTTATGTGCGACCACATTTAGAATACGGGATTCAAGCAGCGTGTCCTTGTTTCAAGTACGAAGCAGATATGCTGGAAAGAGTCCAACGGCTAGGTACTAAGATGGTACAAGGTCTATCTGGCCTATTTTATGAAGACAGACTGAGACACCTTAACTTATTTCCGTTATCTTACCGTAGAATACGGGGTGATCTAATATTGGCTTATCGTGTACTGAACGATGACCTTGGTATTAACATGTCTTATCTTTTGCTTCCGTCTAGAACCGATTATTTGAGAGGACATTCGAAGAAAGTTCAAAAACCGAGATCAAATCGTCTACGTCTGGAGTTCCGTTTCTCGCACCGAGTAGTGAATTACTGGAATTCTCTACCGGAACACGTAATATCAGCACCGTCTGTTAATATATTCAAAACGAGGTTGGACCTCCACAGTATTACAAACTGCAAGGATTAATATAGGTCGATAAACCTCCTATCCTTATTACTGAAGACTGTGACACGAAATTAAGCATTGTGTGTTCAGATTCCTTAGTTGTAATCACTGTACTAAGTATGCATTATCCCAAAGTTCCCAAGCACAAATAATTTCAGAGAAGTCTGGTTCTTGGGGTTTTCTGGCGTTTTTACACAAGAATAAGAAATGATAAGAATGTAACCTCTGTTTACTTCCTATGTAAATCTGGGTTCTTATTTTTTATGTTTTGAATTCGATTAGTTTTGCGTTCCACTCGTATGCTAATCATTCGTTGTCTTATCAGCCCACATTTTCGCATGCTCTTACATCATTTTGATGGTATTACCTCTACTTAAACTCCTATAGGATGCATGCTTCGCAATTTTCCTTACAAGTAACATTTGTTGGAGTTTCTGCACATATTCAGTCTCCCTTTGATTGTAACTCAGTGAACCATTTTAGGTGTTTTCATGGCATACGTATGATACAGATTAATGAACAACGGGCGAGAATAATTTGTGGACGAACTAATCACGTATAAGATAACAGGTCTCGGGTTTTGGCTCGAAATTCACTTTGGCTAAATAGAGTTTCGACATTATAAATGATGTCAGTTCGTGATGAAAACCATAAATCTAGTTTTTAACCTTAATCAGTCAGTCAGTCAGTAACAACGTAGAACTCCGTACGTACGTACATCAGTTCGAGTTGCCACACCACATTAGCACAGAGATGCAGTTGTCGATTCAAATCCCATAGTGGTAGAGGTAATAAGAGTATAAGCAGTAATCGGGAAAATTAGCGTTTGGAGATGTTATTCAAAGAGTATAATCCAGTGAAATAAATTTGGAAAGGGAAAAAAAAGACAAGGAGGAATAAGGAGATTAGAATTTGGGAGAACACAGAGAGTGGATGCACCTGCGCCATTGCAAACGATTTTGAGCCATGTCATTCAGGGTCTCTAACCATCGGTTGCTATCATCTCGCGGTCCCCAACCAGGTAGTCTACACCTACCAACATGACTCAGACCACTTGTCAGTGACTTCATGGACTTGTGCCATGTTTTGGTCTGGCCGCCCCTAGCTTTCTTCCAACCTACTCCTATACCACTGAACATAGCACGTCGAGGCAGTCGGTCGTTGGGCATACGTAACACGTGTCCCAGCCATCTCAACTGATGAAGTTTCACTACTTCATCAATTGATTTGCCATCCTTACCTAGTACCCGTTTCCTAACAACTGTGTTACTTACTCGATGGTCCCATGATATACGAGCAATGTTTCGAAGACACCTATGATCAAATACTAGTAACCTACGGATATCCTCTACTCTTACCGGCCATGTTTCACTGCCATAAAGTAGGACGGAACGAACTGCTGCGCAGTAAACACGTCCTTTGGTTGATAGACGGATATCTCGCCTACGCCATAAATGACGCAAGTTGGCAAAAGCTAGTCGAGCCTTCTGTATCCGTGCTGAGATTTCGTCACACACTAAACCACAAGGGCTGATGAGACTTCCAAGATAAGTGAAGCGGTCGACACACTCAACTACTTCACTCCCTATCACTAGTTCGGGTGTCGATGTAACCCAATCCTGAAGCAACATTTTGCATTTCGAGGGAGAGAATCGCATCCCGAACATGCTTGCATTGTTGCTTAGAGTGGTCAGAAGACTCTGCATTTTGTCAGCGTCTTCACCAAATAAAACTATGTCATCAGCATATTCTAAGTCAACAAGTGAACCTCCCGGTAGAAGTTCAACCCCTGGAAATTTAGATGAGGAGAGTGTTATCTCTAAAAGTACGTCGACCACAAAGTTGAACAAGAATGGGGAGAGTGGACAGCCCTGACGAACACCACTTGAGGTAATCAATTCTGATGACAGTTCGCCATAAGCTCTCACTCTACCAGTTGTGTTCGAGTAGAGAGCCTTTATAAGGTTAATGTACTTCTTTGGTACTCCTTTCAGTGACAAACACTGCCATAGAACCTCACGATCAACAGAGTCGAATGCCGCCTTAAGGTCGAGAAATACTACCATTGTGGGGCGTCTGAATGTGTGTCTGTGTTCTAGAACCTGACGTAGTGTGAATATCTGATCTATACAACCACGTCCAGGTCGAAAACCAGCCTGGTTTTCTCTAGTCTGCTCTTCACGAGCTTTGTTAGGCGTCGAAGTATTATTGAAGCTAATATTTTAGACACTATATTAGTCAAACTGATTCCTCTGTGATTGTCACAAGAGGACTTTTGTCCTTTCTTATAGACTGGCACAATCAGTGATTGAGACCAGTCAGATGGGATTACGTCCAGTTCCCAAATTCTACCTAAGACCTCAGTTAATCTCATTGCTAATACTGGACCACCATCCTTAAAAATCTCAGGAGTAAACCTGTCAGGGCCTGCTGCTCTCCCTCGTTTCAGATTTCCTATGGCTTTTTCAACTTCGTAAAGGGACGGAGGACCTACATTAACTTGCCATTCAGGTTGACTAGAGATCGTGGGAAACCGAAGTGTGGCTGAAGGCCAGTTGAACTGATCCCTAAAGTGTTCTGCCCATCGATCCAATCTCCTGGATTGAGAATGAATAATATGTCCATCTTTCTCTGAGATTGTTTCGCTAACGGTCGGGTTCCTAATTCCGGTTTCCTTAACGAGTCTGAACAATTGTCTGCTATTACCTATTGCCGCTGCCTTTTCCATCTCTCTTGCTTTCGCTACCCACCACTGTTCGCGATCATTGCGTAGACTTCTTGTCAGCTTGCGCTTAAGCTGACTCCGCTCTTCATTATGTTCAGAGCCAGGTGGAATGAGTTTCCGAGCATCTATCAGTGCGATAGATGCTGCTGAGATCCAGTGTTGCTCCCTAACCTTCTGGTTTACCTTACTAGCAGATATCACTGCTGTTTCCACAGCTTTTCGGATATCATTCCATGCTGCATCGGGGTGGGCATCACATACATGGCTGCCTAACTGTTTTCCTAGTTGTTCCTGAAATATACTCTTAGCTTGACTATCATTAAGTAGGCCCTAAGAGGTTTCCTTGCAGCGTCTTTCCTACGTCCAGTAAGACGCAAGCAAATACGCGCTCGCACTAGAGCATGATCTGAATCTAGGCATGTGCTCCAGAATGAGCGACAGTCTTCTATCGAGCCCCTCCATCGGTGGCTGATAGCGATGTGATCTATTTGGGTCCAACGTTGGGACGAATTAGGGGGTCGCCATGTTAAAAGATGTTTTTCCTTATGCTTAAAGTTAGTATTTGCAAGGAACAGGCGGTTATCTGAGCATAGCTGCAACAGACGGTCGCCATTATCTGTTCTTTGAGCCACGACACCATAAGATCCACCTAGGTGTCTTTCCCTATCGCTTAGTTTACCTACTTGAGCATTAAAGTCACCGGCCACTATTACTACATCCGAGCGCTAGCTTTTCGGAGAAGGTCCGAAAGCTTTCTGTAAAACTCATCTTTTACATCATCTGAGCTGCAGTCAGTGGGAGAATAGGCAGAGACGACGAAGAGGCAACGACGAGTGTCCCTATCTTTCCGGATTCTTACTGTTCCGTTCAGTCGGACAGCGCACAAACGACTGTCTACTGGGATCCACTCTAAGAGAGCTAGTTCTGCCCTAGGACTCAATGCTATACCTACGCCGGCGAGGCCACGGGAAGCAGAATCAGGGCTTCCAGATACACGAAGCGTAAATCGAGTCGGTTCTTTATTTTGGCATGGTGAGGTCAAATGAATGACGCTACTTGGATCCTGTATGCGCGTTTCGGAGACGCAGCACACATCGATGGCGCGAGATTCTAAAGTTTTAGCTAAGGAAGCCTGCTGTCCTATTTGGCAAAGTGTTCGTACGTTAAAAGCTCCTACGTGTAGTTTAGAGCGTGGTTTCAGGAGACCAGGAATGGCGTTCCACGTACTCGAATCGTTTGCCCTAGCGGTGCGAGGTGATAAAGAGACGTGAGGAGGGTTAGTCATGGAGATAAGAGAGGTATTAGGAGGTGTAGGAAGGATTTGAATGTGACCACCTTGGTCTCTTGTGCTGTTACGGGTATGAGGGCTGATGTCACTTCCCGGCTGCCCACACCGTGGAAGGGTATTTCTTGAGGAACCTGAAAAGGAAATTGGATTAGTGTTGGTCTTGACGACCTGGGAGCGTGACCGCAGAGCCCAAGGGACAACTGCTTGAGGCCGGTCGCGCACGGCCTTTTTGTGGAAGGTTTTTGACGTGTTAGCTCCGTTCTTCAAAGGGCCTTACCGCCGGAGACGGAAATCCGTGAGGTAAGGTGAGGTGTGACATTTTTAGGGTCGACCTTTTCTAACCCCACCCCTCCTTGTGGGAAGGCAGCATCGCTGTCATGCTGGTTGTCCGAGGGAAACACCTTACTGCTGTCACACCCTCTACAGTCAGCAGTACGACTTCGCCCTCAGACCTTGAGTTGCTGCTTTTAGTCTTACCGTTCACCAATCGACCTGCCTGGCATGGTAGAACCTACAGGAACATATGTTCCAGCCAATATAGCTCGGTTGGGTCATCACGATAGGCAAGCCCGACCACCGCGTCAAGGTAGCAGCTTCGATCGGGTTTAACCTTAATCATCAACTGTAAATCATAATTCTAGTTTCTCACACAGGTTTATAACCCTTTTTGGTACTGGTTATTAGGTGGACACTCTCAAGGTAAGTCTAGCGTCGCTCATAGGTCGTCCATAAACTATAGTCTGACCGTAGCACGAGTAAGATTTTGTCCTGAATCACCATACTTACAAGATACGATATGGTTCACCATATCCACTGACATTCACATGACCAAGCTATAACAAATTTTTGGGTAGTTAATTTCGGGATGGACATAAAATGGTTGCTCCAAATCACCGTAGTTTTGTCGGTTTTAGTTTCTATAGATAGTAAACTTGTTTGGTCATTGCATTTACATTGTTACGCAAACGAAATAAACTAGAAGTAGTCCGGCGTGGAATAGAAAGTTTATCACTTTTCCATTTTTTAAATAGTCTTGTCACTATTCGTGAAGTTCATTGTGGACTGAATAGACATATTTTTGTGTAACGTACTGGTAGTGAACTTACATAACGTTTACTACTTTTTGGCTTATAAAAAGTTCTATCTTTTGGAATTAAGCTTTTACCTTTATCCTAGATCCTTTTATTTCTCACAACATTTTAGTGGGATGACCGTAACGAGTGGTTGTGTGAAGCTTAAAAAAGACCCACAGAATCTAGTGGGTATAAGTATTGGAGGGGAGCCCCATACTGTCCGTGCCTTTACGTTGTTCAAATATTCGACTCCACGCCAGCTTCAGAAGATGGTAGTCTTCAAGCTGGGGACGAAATAACTGGTGTCAATGGTATATCTGTAAAAGGCAAGACGAAAGTGGAAGCTGCGCGACTCATTCAAAGTTTCAAGGTAGGTGTTAACTTTGTTTACCCCACCTAATCGTGTTGTTTGTGATATTGTTACCTTCTTAATTAATTTATGTGCGTCAAGTAATAATGCATTAGTGTTAAGGCTTTATTAGATATATGAACCTCAAAAGCTTATTTTAAATCTTGTGAGTGTAGGGTTTGGTCAGAATAACTTTAAATCGTTCAATCTTGGACAGTTACAAAATCAAGGAACTCTCATGGTGTTATGTTCTTGATCATTTTCATCTGAGATTGTACTCATCTTGTTCTCCTTATGTCTCTTGGCAAAATAGTAGCTATAATTCCCAATTAAACCAGTTTTCAAATAAAATATTTCTGTTTTACATGCTGTGGGTCCCACTTTTCTAAAACCGACCTTTATGCAATATAATTAGTAGTCTAGGACAACCAAAATTACTCTATACAGTTTCGAATTTTGGAAACGTGTCAACCTGAAATCTTAGGCAAAACTCCTTTATTTGTTTTATTTTATTTATTTATTCAAACACGAACATCGGTACAAGAAGGTGCCACATAAATCGCTCGATTTGTGTGAGGGCTGGGATACTGCGCGGGTGCCCAAACCGGAGCAGGTGGTTTTCTTATGGGGCCACACCCAGAGCCTTTGACCTGAAAGTTTAATCCACGAGGCAGTGGAGCAACGTCTGGGTATGCAGTCCCATGGTGGCCGGTAACTAACGATTGGTTCATACTCCATTTGTTCCTTCAGCATACTGGAGCCCATGTGCAAGATTGGTTTGGAATCAGGGTTTTCCGATTCGCCTAGGTGGACTCTACGTGTCCACCGGACATTCGCTTTTGGTCCTCTCAGCTTCGTAAACAACACCCCCGCCGCGAGAAGGCAGTGAATAGGACTTCCCTAGCAGTGGTTGTATGCACGTGGCCATGTGATAGCATTTCGAGAGAGAGCTGACTCTAACCATTCTCGGTCGTACCAGGGTATTTGAAGACCTCGTATTAGTTGACACCCATCGATTATAGTCAACCACAGGAGACAAACATTTCGATCTCAATAAGTTGTCTTGTGAGTCTCACAACTCACTACCCATCTACTAGTGGTTTCGCAGTTCTTGCATTAATTGTAAACCATCGCCCAGTTTGGATAAAACAAAACGCCATCAAAACTAAATTAATATGACTCCCATCTCCTTTATCCCTTATCAGTTAACTTCTTTCATGTGGGTTTTGATGAAGTGCTATTAAATTCATCTCGTTACCCATTGCCTTATAACTTTTATATTCCCATACCTTTCCTCCCAGTTCGATGAAGTGTCTGCCATTATGCCTTCCTAAATGCTTATACTTCGTCTGGAAACTCATAATTTATAGTGAAGCAATTTACAGTATTGGGTCGATATCTAACCAAGTGTACATAAACTGTAGCCGTATGATATACTTGTAACATAGTGATTTCCATCAGGATATGAAACATAGGGTCTCGTGTAGGAAATAAGATTTAATCTGGAAATTACCATAAACAACGTAACACCATAAAAAGAGGGAGAATAGAGTTACTGACCATTAAGCAATCATGGTGAGGGTAAGGATTCCAAGCCGGGGCGGAAAATTTTCAGTGTAGGATTTTAGTTCTTTTCTCATCATATGCCTAAATAGTTCCGAGTTTTCTACCCAAAGGTAGTATATTTAAGGAAAATATAATCTATTGTGCAACCACGAAGTAGAATGTATTCACCAAGCTAACTTGGATCAATTGACGGAACTATTGATGTATAATATAAACCACCGATCATCTTTGACTCACGATGTTAACTACAGCAGATTTTAGACCGATAGCAGTGTATTAGGCTATTAATTAATTGTCTAAATTTCATAGCCTATGCTATATTGAAATAACAAATTATTGGTTCGCAACACTAGTCGACACAAAGTAAACTCATCTAAAGAACTAAGTTGAAAAGATTTCAGTTATTCACCTACCAACATGTATTGTGTAACAGCTGACTACACTACTTGGTTTCCTTAACCTCAGTAAGTGGGGGTTGCACTTCAAGTGGTTAAAGGCCAACCGTTTGGACTGCTAGGTCACAGATGAAAATATAAATATGTCTGGCCTTTTTCTTGATGTAAAATGTGCAAACAGTGATGTATCTGCCTCTATTTCACATAACCTTGCTGTCGTTACTTTGTCTTTACTGAATTTCGAAGTTTGGTGGTTTCAGTTTGTATTATTTTACCCTCTACATTGTCCTAGTTGTTTGGCATTGTATAGCTTGCTTAAGGAAAAAGGAAGTTATCTATATTATAAAGCTTTTTTCTTATCCCATAAACAAATGTGTCTTATTGCGATTCCGTACTCTAAATTCCTGACAAATTGTTATAACAATATGTACTTTCCTAAATTTACAGACATTTTCATTCTCTGTTTATTGTAGGATGAAGTAAGAATTAACTATAACAAACTTCATGCAGACCCAAAACAAGGAAAAACGCTAGACTTAAGTAATTGTTACTTTCTTTACTTAGATTATCATAACCATCCTATCACAGTATTAAAAAAGGTGAAACATCGTATTGTTGAAACGATGGAATCTAGTACAGCCGATGCTTTAGGTCTAAGCCGAGCTATTCTTGTAAATGGTTTGTTAGATAACTTTTTTATATCAGGAAAATCATAATTTGTAGACGGTATGGTTAAAAAGTTGGAAGAACTCAATAAAACATCAAATGTGTTTTCGGGTATGGTAAATCATGCAAAAAAGTTGTTACGTGCAATCTATGAACTTTCTCGTATCTATGCTGGTAAGATGTTTTAATAAATGTTTTCTTTCATGACAGTCATACCTAGGTTCACTTAGCTCTACTTGGTTACTGGTTTATTTTTGCGTATCTAGTACTCCATAGAGCGTATTGAGGAACTGTAATTAGGTTAATGTGCATAAATTAACAAGGTGTATACATTTTACGCAATGCTAGGTACTTGCTCCGAGGACTCAACATCCTACCGTATGATCACACCTTAAAATATATCACTATACACAAGTGTGCCGGGTTCTACGTTACTTATGACTGACATACTACGGTTTATACTCGGCCACTGTTTGCTATCTTGATGTGACGGTTTTGTGTACGTACTACATTTGATATTGAGATTTTGATTAGGTGACACAATGTCAGTTTTAATGTTAACCAAAGTTCTTGTTTGACGGTAATAAGGTATTGCTATAGCTACTAGTAGTATTACCTTCGAGAAATATCTTACTTATTGCCTGAATTCCCATTCTGTTCCTATAGTTCAGTAACGATTGGTGAGGTTTTTGAAGGGACCCAAGAAATTGTCAAGTGATGACTCAACAAATGACGCTCGATTGGTTTTTGGAACCTATAAAAACGATAGTATATTAGTGATTATGCGGTGTAAACAGAACCTCGATACCTGTTTATCTAAATAGAGTGAGAAATGTTAATTTAGCTGACAGTTTACAATTTAGTCGCATTCCTATCAAGCAGGTAAGTTAAATAACTAAGTTGTTGAACAATTTCGGGGTAACAGACCTTCATCTGCCTCAGTAGTATGAAAACCCAATTCCCTATCACTAAATCATGTGTGTGAATCTCACTTCTTCTGTGAAAGCAAGCTGCTAGCGGTGTACTTATTATACTCTCCACTTAACAATTGGCCAGTTTACCGTTATTACGACAATTACCATCGGTATATACTATCCAGAAAATGAAAATTGAGTGATAAAAATTTCAACGATTATCAAAACGTTTTGTGCAGAATCGACGGGCATAAAAATGGGAATTCATGAGATAATAAAATGTCAGTATATTGGCATAATTATGTCAAATATATATACTTTGTGTATGTGCATAAAGAAATCCATGTTACCGAATCCAAGTGAAATACTAGAAAGAAACAAGGACATATATTTAGTTCAAAAATTGAAATGTCAGGTTTCTTAGTGGATACATAAGAATTGTATGAAATTAAAATGCAGGGTGAAAATTACGTTTAAGTCAAAAATATTTTATTGTTAAGTATGTTGGCAGATGATGGCAGGCATTGTTTTCACTGTTTGTAAACACCATAAACCTCTTATGAAAGCCTTAAGCACCAAACAATATACCTATTCATAGAGGAAGATAAGACGCTTAGAATTTATTTCCCGGTCTACGTCCAACATATGGCACATTAGTGATAAAATCAGCACAGTTGCAGACATCATTGATACGTTTCAGACCGATTACGTCTATGTTGTACGATTATCTCAGACAATGGATGTAGATAAAGATGTGAAGGGATTGGTAATAAGTCGAAGTACTTTGGAATTATAAGCCTTACCGTTTCGCTGACGCCCTGAGCGTAATCCATGATACGTTCACAAACTAGTGGAGATTCTTCTTACCGCCATCACTGAGAAAGCCAATATTCGACAAATCACACCGAATTTTCTAACAATCGACTTACGACTAAATTAATGAGTGAAAGGTACGTGTGGACAGAAATGAACGATGATATCCAACATTTGGTCCATGCTTGTTTAGTAAGCCAAAGATTTAAAGTGCATTAGCAACTACTTCTACTGAAGCACCCACTGAACCGGATAGTAGATTCAACTATTTCCACGTAGGAACCGTTGGACCGTGGCCACCACCAAACGGATATACGTATATTTTAACGTGTAATAATGGATTTAGAAGATACCATTGGAAAATATGACGGCAGCAACATTGCCAAAAATGTCGCTAAGCGTTGACTAGTGAATTTTAAAGTACAAGCACTAATCACTATAGATGGGCGCGTTCTTGAGTATTAAAAGAGTTAGGGCTACAACTTATCATCCAATCACGAATGAAATGGTCTAGCGATCCTACCAACGATTAAAAGCATACTTCATATCAGTACATAATAGTGACAAATTGCCCACAACTGTGCTTAGTATTTCTACCATTAGGCGAGATTTAAGTTGTGCTACAGAGTTAGTACATGGGACACAATTAAGATTGGCGGGATAATATTTTCGACGAGCAAGAGAAGCTTTAATCAGTACAAACGTTTGGATAACTGCCTGGCTCAAAGTCGAGTACATGCAACTGTACTTGTTAAATGAGTTATATTAATATTGTTTTTATTGAGTCTTCATGTCACAAATATTAGTCGTAGTCTGTGGTTTAGTACATGAGTTTGTATGTGGTTGTTGACTATTATTATCATTAACTTATAACCTCAGGAGAATTCTCTCTATAAGTAGTACCTAATTCTTATCTCCTCAGTCGTTATAGTCACCCAGTTTTTTAAAATGTAGCAGATTGGTTGTATTATTGAGCTGTGGAAACTATTCATATATTCCCATTACTCAAAGTCAATATTAAGGTCATCACATGTGTTGGAGTTTCTCTACAAGTTATTTTCGAAACCTTTCTGAAAGAATAGTTGTAAGATAGAAAACTTTCTTATGCTAAATCCACTAGTAATATTGCTTCATTTTGCAATAAGATGTAAAATTGACAGCATGAATTAATAGATGTGGTATTTAATTTACACCTAAGTATTAAATTCTTTTGACATATTCAGAGAAACCTGTACATGTATTCTCTTCCTGAGTATATCAATGAATGTAGTAGTTTGCTTAAAATATAAAGGTAACTAAGGAAGACATATCAATCTTCACAGCTTTCAGCACTCGCTTTCGTTTGGACTTAAGATGTGACTTAATATTGCTTCAGTATGTAGATATTTTTTACAATTGTTGTATTTTATATATGCATTCGATTTCATAGATTTCCCCATTTGGGGAAATAAGTCGTCTTGGGTTTCTTTACCGATTTGATTCCCTGGTCGGAATGGAGAGAATATTTCTGTATTTGTAGCGTTGTTCAGTATTTCAAAACATAACAATTTCATTGGTAAATCTTCATATGATTGTAAATTCATTCTAGCATATTATCAATGCTGCTTGCTTAAAATACCCATTATGTGTTTATTCAACTGGTATTTTATTTTACTTGTTAAGTATTGGGAGACACATTTTCAGAAATTGGCGTTAAAGAGCCCATGACATGCACAAGCGAAGCATTTACTCAATTTGGTACGATTCATCGAAGTATGGAGCGTTTTTCGATTGAAATGTTGAAAAAGATTAAGCCAGTATGTCATCTAATTTGATAAGAAATACTTTTTCATTAAAGCTTGAAATTTCCCATTAATTAATAATGCCCGCTTTTGCAGATTCGATGCTACTGAGCAACATTCTGATAAAAAATTCTGGATATCTGAATTGAAATTGTCTGACCAACAAGCCACCTTTTTCTATTTTTATTTCTAACTTATCAGTAGTGTTCTCAGACTAATTCATTGCAGGAGTCAATGAGGAAGACAATCAAAATAAATATCCAGACAATGACGGGGGACATGCTGAAAATAGTCATTTAAATTTAATGACAACAAAGCTATTAGCCGTATGCGAATAAATTCTGACAGCTCACGTGTGATGTCTAGAGACGATTCAACCCCTAATCTCAAAGAACTTAGCTTCACTAAAACTCATTCGCTTCCTAATGTTTCTTTTCCTATCATCAACTTCTCTGGATTTCTTCGCTTACGCATACGTAATTAGTGCTAACCATTCGAGCTTTTGAAATATTATATTTTGTATCGTTAAACCATGCTCCAAATTACATACCGAACTGTTATAACGCTCGGTTTTACTTCGCCTAATGTTATAACGGTTGAGTTTCCACGTTTACACGTATGGGACGTTAATTTACCTTAGACGAATATCTACACTAGATTCCCTCCCAGTGTCTATTCTACAGGACTTCAACACAACTCAGATCAAGAACACGTGATTAGCCTGACCACAACATGAATATATTTCCACACAAAACCCGACACAATCCAACACCAATGAACAATCAATAATAAATGATAATAATAATAATAAGGAAAGGGGAATATATAACTCATCAAACTATCTACATGTCTGACTAAGCAGATAACCAATCATTATCATTCTCGCCTACACATTACGAACATTTCAATATTCGAACCTTGTATTAAATCATACAATAGGCTTCAACAGCAAAGGTTCTAGAATCCAATGCTACCGATACATCCCGTATCTGCGAAATCTACATGTGTACCGTAAGTGTGGTCATTTAGCTTCTTCACCTACCCAATTTGGAGAATCAGCACGATTCATTTTTTGCGTGTCTGGTGATTCGGCAACTACGTCCCACGTTCTTGTTGGGCTAGATATAATATTGAGTTCCAAATCGAAACAGGCATTCTTGGGGTTAATTACAACTCATAGCCTGTTGTACTGTGTGAAATTAAACGAGATATGACTCACAAAGATAAAGCTACATGCCGTTGCCTCTTCGTAGTCTACTTTTGCTTTAGTATATGAGTTAGTAGCTATATGAGTCGCAATATATCCTACATCTGAATTTAAAAATCCTCTTATTCCAACTGACCACTTACCTTATTCATTTCTTTTCCTACTGTGTCTTATTTCTGTGTCAGATTTTCATAATCTATATTGAAACTTTCCGGCTTCTAGATTCTTACAAATCCCGACGATTCAGATTTACTGAATAATATATTCAGTTCGCTATAAAAAACAAATCATATGTTACTGTCTTCAGCTCTCATGATGAACAGCCTTCACTAGTTAAAACTTCAGCACTATCAGCTAATGATATACGGTCGACATTCAAGATACTCATTCAAAAGCATAATGTATTCAGTGTCACTAAAACTTACCCATATAATAAAAGAACTATGGGATTTATTTCATAGATATTTGTATATTCATTGGGGTCGGAAGTTGATTACTGTCAACTATTGCATATACACTCGCTAACTGAATGTAGAAACGGGAAAAAGTCGTTTGGGAGTTTAATATGACTTCATCTAAACTGACTAACCTTCATTATTCCAAACCACAGTGATTACAATTGCATAACGCATAAGTAGCTTCAGATATGAAGACGGACTCTAATATTTGCAGGCACCTCTATATCTTACTTTAGTGCCCCACGTGGTATGCTTCCTGGTTCTGCTGTTTGTCATTTTTTATTTGTCCGATGGCCTTGGTTGTTTCTTCTATTGTTTACAGAGTGTCATCTATGGGAAGGTGTGTGTTCTGTTTTGATTCCGGTAGGTTCAGTGGTGCCGGTCTATTCAAGAGCTCTTAAAAATGTTCTGTTCACCTGTCCTGCTGCTGTTGATCCTAAATGATTGATTTATCTTTGTTCCTTACGGGTCTCGCTGATTGATCTACTATATTTCCCTGTAAGCTTTTTGGGGGAATCATATGGTTCTTCCATATTTCTTTCTCTTGTAACTTTTTCTGTTATCGTTGCCAGGTCGTCTACATATTCCCGCTTATCAGCTCATTTGTTTGCTTCTCAATATTCAGTCAGTGCCTTGACTTTCGTTGCTTTTGTTGACTGATGCCGTCTTGTTTTTTCTTTTGTTAAATCTATCCAGGCGGTGTACAAAGATCTATTCTTTATTTTGATGCTTATTGGGACTGAGCACCTGCTAACATATTGAAGCTATTGCTTCCTTAGTTCTGATATGTCGAGATAAGAAGGCGAGTTCACTCCTCCTACTTGATGTAAGGTTTTATGACATCAGTCTTATTCCCAGTGTAACATTTTGATATTGTTTTTATTCTCAACGTAAGACTTCATTCTATGTGACATTGTTTATTTTCAGCCTGACGTTAAATATTGGTTTTATACTTGTCACCCAGATCTACCAGTCTCCCACCACTCCTATTATTTGTCTTTGTTCATACCACTTCATGTTATAATTGTACTTTATGTTATTCATCCCGGCTTTGGCGTTTAGGTCCACCATAAGGTGTTTTCACACTCATTTTCTGCGATGAACCTTTTTTTTCTACATAAAACCAGCTTTTTTCATCACTCCTGTCATTGATGAGAGCATTGCATTAGATGACCATTGCTATTTTTTCGTCGTTTTTTTTAAAGAATGCTTTGATCATCCTGGAACTTTCACATACACATACTCAGAGTTGCATACATAAATATCAGGATGATTGAATAGATTAGAGTAATTCATTTACTTAAAGGCTAGAATAAATCAAGTAGGGGTGCTATAATTATTTGCATATTTGTCGGAAGAAGCATAATTTCAGCCATAAGTTTTCATAACTTGTCTTCATGAAAACCTTCGTCTTCCAGGGCATAGTTTAAATGAAACAATCGATTTTCTCTGATTACTCTTTTTACGTGGTGTGGTTTGTTAACCTCACGGCCAGGCCTCTTTTACCTGGCTTGGAGCTTGAAGTAACCCCTAAGGGGGCTGCGGACAGAGTTCACATCAAATCTATGAAATCGCCATACTGCAATAATTTATAGTTTTTTTTTCATAATTAATTTAACTGTTTCACAAACCAAATGGAGATTAAATCTATTTACAATCGAGTTACTTCGTTCACTTTTATAGAAGGCATATCAACTCTTACTTGCTAACCGTCCTGCTTACGTAATTCAAATATTTCTGATAATACTTGAACAAATAAATGAATGGTTGTATGTTAAGACTGTAGATTTATAGCTAACAACTCTGCAAATAAGGGGAGTATTATCAGACCTAAGAGTAACATTATTCCACGGTGTTTCTCAAAATTTCTGCATATTGTTCGTATTTAAAAGCCATCTTGCACATTTCATAACACATTAGAATTTGTAATAATTTTCCCTTCATTTCTGTAGTAAAATGTTTTCACTTTTTGTTATTTCACATAGATGATCATGGATTTAAACACATTTCTACATAAAGCGGTTCCTGATACAAAGTTAACAATCAAAAAATATTTAGATGTCAAATTTGAATATTTGGTATGCGAAGTGTTACTAATTTTTCTTACTTCAGCTCGTTCTGTCCTTTTTTAAACTAAGTATTTGACAATCAATTTGGGTTTGAATTTGTTTTCGTTGTTGAACGTAGGATATTGTGAATTTTCTACTTAAATTTACTGAATACCATTGATCGATTTCTGTCTTGAATTCGGTACAAGCATCGGTTATCTAAATACATTATTTGTCTTACTTTTACATACAAGAAATAGAAGTCAACTGACAAACATGTGAACCAAAACCAATAAAAATGGATTAGTTTGTTCAACCGTTCTGTAACTACACAGCTGAACAAACCTAATTATAATTAAAAGCCTCATTGATTTCAACAATCTACTCTGTTACGAAAATTCTCCGGTATGACTTATGTTGTCAATATCTGTATTATAGTTCAAAGGAATTGTGGAGTATGTTTTTTATATTCTTTAGTATCTTGAATAGATATATTGTCCTGTCAGGTGTAATATTATCTAATGATGTTTTTCATACACTGTCTTCTCTCAAAATATCCTTGAACAACTTAATTTACACTTTAAGTTGGAGTAGTTGTGATTGCTCTTGTATGGTTTAGTTTTTTTCTCACAACTGAATAAGCATATGGAGCAGCTGACAAGGTGATCTTAATTCAGTGGTCACATGACTGAGATAATACTAAAAGTCGACCTTGGCTTCAACTTGTTACTACATTGTCACCATTGTTACAAGGTATAACCTCCACTCAGAATTTTCACTCATTATATTAATCCATGTCACAACGGTTGTTGAAGCTAGCCAACTACAAAGTTGCATAACAGTTCACTACCTACTGATGAATAGTTTTGAGCTTAATGTCTACAAGCTCTAATAGAAGGCCTTGATTTATTTAGTTAGTCCGCTTGGAAGTAAAGACAGACACACACTGATTATATGTGATGATAACGTTTGTACCAAGTGATATTAAAAATCATAGTGTTGTTCAGTTAATAGAATTGTGACGTCTCTGTTGTAAAACCTAAGGTAAGGGTTTAACTTCCATTGTGTACTAAATCAAAGGTAGACCTTTTTAAGCAGTCAGAAACTAGATTAAGATAACCTCTGGACATATTGACTACATATTTTTCTGTAGTAAAAAATTGCTGAAATAAAATATAATTGACTTGGAGTATTGGTGTAGTTGTTAAAATACTTGACTTTCAACTACTGGGTTCTAGATTGTACCCTTTTCCATCTACTATGATTTCCGCATTCGGGTTGCCTCAGTAGTGCTCCCAGGTAACCGACAACACAAATATGTACTTGTCAAATTAGTTTATAACTCAAATTGGTATAACTTTCAGTTTACTTCTAATAGGACATTCCTGTAGACTGAATGTATTACAACTTTACTTAATATTCTAGTTGTATGTATCTCCAAGTAATCCACTTTAAAATACGGCTTCTCGTTTGTAAAAAAGGATATATTTGTCAGAGGTAGAAAAACTAGCTAAAATTCGGTATCATGAGAATCTCAACAAAGCCCATCATATTACTCTTGGATGATCAATAGGTTTTTATTGTGTATATTTTTCGCGATTGACTGACACATCGTTGTTATTTTTTATTCCATCTTTTGTTTCGCTAGTCTTATTGTCTTAAAGTAAAGGAAATGGACGATGAAGAGTATGGTTTTGCTATGGTTCAAGAACCACTATATCGTGTAGAAACTGGAAATTATGAATATAGACTTGTTTTAAGATGTCGACAGGATGCACGTACACGGTTTGCTAAGATGCGCAATGATGTTTTAGTAAAACTAGAATTATTGGATAATAAACATGGTAAACAGTGTATTTATTTTCCCTTTTTTAATTACGTTCGACCTCTGGTAATTTATTGGATTAAATTTTAGTAACAGTGGAATAATAATTTGGCGTGTATACCATTTTCTGCACTCATTAACAAAGTGTGGATAGACTTATTTTTAATATGGAGACACTTAAACGATAATTCAAGTAGCATGGTTCCTAAGTAGTTGAGTTAACATTTGTAGATGAATAATCATTCCACATTGCTGTATAAACGGTAGAGTCATAATCAAGCCCATTTAAACGGTTATCTAGTTCAAAGGTATATATATGTTTTACTTACTACTTATGTTTACCGACATAAGTAGTATGTAACACTCATCAGAAGTGGAATGCCTGGTAGCCAAAGGTTCAACAGATTGAATTGAAGAGGATAGAAATGTAAACAGAGAGCAATTGTAATAACAACAGAAATGAAGGAACGATGAATTTTGTAAGAGACAACTGATGGAAGATGTGTAAATGAAGTATTTAATGTATGGTTTTCGTATTTTACGAAGACATTCTGTAATTTCGTATTGGCTAATAAATTCCTCTTCCCCACCAAGTTTTTGTTCACTACATTTGGTGTCGCTGCAAAAAGAGAGGTGAAGTTCTGTGTACGCCGTTACCGGGTTAAGAGAGGAGGCGCTACTTGGGTCTGTCCGGTTCAGGAATGTGACGTCAAGCGGAGTGTTCCGGCGGGGCGGTGTTGGCTGTAGAAGTCGCTGGGAGGACGTCGTATCTAGATGGCCCGAAAGGCCGATACTGCTATGGAGGTCAGTGCACCGGCGAATTCTACATTTTGATTGGGAGCGCGGCAAAGGAAGTGACACGAAGAGTAGAACAACCGCAAGATCGACCGTTTAAAGTGGGAACGAGTGTGGCGTATGCTATTTGTGTTTGTCGACATAAGTAGTATGTAATACAAATTAGAAGTGGAATGTTTGTCAAAAGAAGATTGAAATGAAGAGGTGAGAGGAGGAAACCAAGGAATTGGGAGAATCGTGAAGGATGTAAAGGACAACTAAGAGATGTGCAAATGATGTATTTGCTGTATGATTTTCATATCTTACTAAACCACTATGTGACTGTGCATAAATAATAAGTTTGTCTTCCGGACTTCAGTGTTCGTCCACTACAGTTTTACACTTCACTGTATAGAACCGTAATTAACACTCAGTGAAAGATGGAGAAATTGCTTAATTGCTAAACCGCTTGCCTCTCAATTGTTATGTAACAGGTCTGAACCGCGCTCCATGTTCGGTTTAGATAACCGAGTAATCTTTACAGTACATGTCTAAGTACTTTGATTCGAATCCCGAAGTATATTAACTCGTACTTGGCAATTGAGTCACACTACACTACAGCTATTATAGTTCAAAAAATCACCTACCGCTTTCAAACATGTATCGTCGTATTTAGTCTTTAATTGCTTAACCCATACCAATCACAGACAATGATATTAACTGTTTTATCGGACTTCTATTGGCACCGCATATCTTACAAAACTGTTATTGTATTATGACAGTCTCTGGGATTAATTTTTGACGGTTTTGTCGGCAATTATTTGGTCAGGAAAGTTGCTTCTATGTTATGCTAAATATATAATATTGAATAAAGTGATTAATAATAATATTAATAGTCTTGTAAATAGAGTTGTAACATGTTGCACTATAATTTTCCCCGTGGTTTATAAGTGATCAGTTAGTTGATCTATGTGATTACAACAATAATCTGTTTAAGTTAGTGTTATAAAGTACTGGTTTCTTCACATTGTGACTAGTAGGGCAAAATAATTTACGTGACTTTCCAGTTCTAGTTAATATTGTATTTACTGTTTCTCATTCACTTAGTTACTAAATGCGGTATTCATGAATTTCCGTTTGACGGTAGTCTAATACAACTTTATTGACGTTAAGAAATTTTTCCTTTATATTATAACGATCGTCAAGATTTCGGCAGTCGAAAATCGCACTGTTTTTAATCAGTTTTGTGTGAACTGGTTTATACTGCTCTTATGAGGTATGTTGACTTGGACCAACGCATATATGTGCCGGTTTTATGTTTTAGATGACTGACTGATATACTGGTTCTACCATGGCTATATTTGCCGTATGTTGGAATCCATTTTGTTTTCGGCAGAGATATCCCTACTTTCAACAGCTGGTTGACAAGTGATGGTAGACGACGTCATTTTCATATCGTGATTTGATGTCTGAGCGAACAACACTCCCGATGTAATAAAGAATCTTATTAGTACTCTGAAGACCCGAATGCGAAATTAGACACTGCTTAACATATGATTCAGAACCCAAATCATGAAACGAACCAAATATTGTGTATATGTTATAAATTGGATCTGGAACTAAATATAATGTTTTACGTGTAGTAACCAGGCTCCTAAGTGTCTACGAATTTAGACATACTATTAACGTATTTCTTGATACCATAAAATTAAACTTTGTTAGATATAAGAAGCTTTTAGGCTGAATATTTTGTCAACATGTGCATTCTAAGTAACATACCAAACAAACTAGATATCAATTTTTCGGACTACAATGACTTTTTTGTACAATGTCTTTGGATCCTTAGAACTATAGTATTCATAGTTTGCCACAGATTTCCTATATGATTAGGTATGTAAAATGGGATTATATTTTTCATATTTGCTTTGAACTAACCGCAGTCGGTTTTTGTTCTTTTCCCCTTTGCCAGTACAAGATATCGTGTTTGAGTTACAACGTTTCATCGATGCTATGGCCACCTACCATGATCAATGTTATGGTGTCATGAAGCAAATTAAAATTTTTCCACTTGAAGTGGATCTGGCAAGAGATGCATTTGCGTACAACCTAGGGATTTTTAATACAGGCGAAGATGAAGGCGGTGAAGATATTGATGAGGATGTAATCAACACTGAGTCAGTTGAAGAAAAATCTGTCAGTAGCAAGTATAACCAGTTAACTGACGATGTCAAATTAATAGACCTGGCAGGAATAAATTCCAAAAGCCGATATTCTGAAAATGAGGGTGTGATGAGGTGTTAGATATGAACAACTGGAACTCTTATCTACTTGGGGTCCTCATCCAGGCGACAGTAAATCGAATAAACAGGAGGCTGTTACAGACTTGCTTTGTTTTGACTAGTTATCGTTCTGCTTTACATCATTAGTGTACATATATTATGAATACCTTTTTTAATAAGTATCTTTTGTAGTGATTGTACTGCATTCACTAAAAATGTGATCTAACAATGTGATATTTCTGCTTTGCTAAATTCCATGACTTAATTTCGTTTATTATTCGGTTTTGTGTTTTTCTTTACTCTTTGTCGAACAATACATATTAATAATTATCATACACTTCTCTTGCTACAGTTTGTTTCATGTCTGAGGGGAGTGGTTGTGATCATGCGAATATTTTTAATCTAATATATTGTTGAACAGTTTGTTCATTCTAATAAAAAGTTTCGTTAATTATTGTCATTTATGGTTTTCTACAGATATTTTACTTGTGTACCATTTGTACAGCAGTCGCTTATTTCTTCCATCCATCTGGAAATTAATAAAACCCGTGAGGAAAGGACAGACAGTATTGTTACAAGTTGATTACACCTATTGTGACTGCTTTGAATATTTTTGATAGCAAAAACTTTGAACAATCTGCTACATAGTATTTAGTTGGATAAATACAAAACACATTGGTTCAGGTTGACGCACTTCTCGACAGCATACAATTGAAAAGTCAATATAGACGTAATAGCATGGAAATAAGGAACGTGTGAAAAAATCGATTCGGATAAATAAAACGTTCACAATTTATAGAAGGGTGAAAAGTGAGTGCACCTATCATTCCGACTCTGACCAATCCCCCTTAGGATCTTTGGTCGTTTGCTTCCATCACTGAGAATTCTACTCAGGAAACCTGTACTGTTTCACATAAACACAGACCAAAAGTTAGTAGTTTAATGGATTATTCATATGCCTAGTTCAGTAACATTGGGTGAATATACTCGTTTCCCTACGACTATTTGTAATATTGGCGAAAGTCCCTCATATCCAATATATCAGTATACAGAACGCATAAGCCAGCCAGCACAATCAACTGCCTCACTCCTTATTTTAAAATGACGTGTTGATGTTTATTTTTGAAATAAGCTTACAGGTGAGAGACTCATGTTTAGTATCTCCAGGTTGTTCAGTGCTTTTTGAAAAAGAGTTATGATGTCTTCAGGCTTCAAGTTGAGTGTAATGTTCATAAGCCTGATACGACGACAGAATGAAGATATTTCTGTTTGCTAAATCATACAGGTAGCTGAGAATATATTACTACTACACTGGATACTCTATTGCTGTGCTACGTAGACTGGGTTAGCGATTACACCAGATACACGGTTTGTGACCCAATATAGAGAACCGGGGTATGGACAGTACCTTATGCAACACGACTACAAGCGGTATGCATTCGAAGTTTGGGGCAGAAATCAATGATAGAAAGGAAATTACATGTTTGACAGTAAATGATTTAGTCTTTCCACGCTCAGTGGTTAATCACATCTTACTTTCACCGGCCGCAAATCAGAGTTGTTTACGAATTACTGATAAGTTAGGTAATACTAGACATCCACGACATTTTATCTGTAAAAGCGTATATACAACTGGTGATTACTACTGTCATAACCCCTCACAGTTAGAAATTGGCAGAACTATAGAAAACACCCTGAATCACCCTAGTTAAGTGAGCAGTTACATTTAGAATATTGTATATGTCGTAGGAACACAGCAAATATTCATAGCCTGAGATGTCAGTTTTGAATAGCGTCTATCTTGATAGCCTTTTGGATCCGGAAACCTCCAAATGCGTTGGGAAGGAAATGAATAACTGAAGAGTAATCAATAGTAGATATTCGTGTCGTAAGCATACAGAAATTAGTTTCCTAAGGAATTCAGGAACCCAAAGTGTTTGCACAGACTTCCTGAGGATATTGATTGTTTAGTCTATCATACATTACGGTCTATGAATCGGAGTGTTGGGGACGTTAGATCCCCAAAACTCATATTTTGTAATATAATCTGTGGAGCTTGTATGCAGATGTATGCTTGGGCATTTCTTACCACCCACGCACATAGTCGGTTGACGAACTTATCGATTAAATGTTTAAAAACTTCCATGGCGATATCGATTATATATATATTTAGTATAAATACGCCTGATTTGTGTGCTTGATGAACCTGGTATCTTCGGGTTGTCTGTAGAATACACTTTCTACATCTTACCAAGAATTCTGGATCGAGTTAGCTGAGTCGGAGACAACGGACCAGTATAGCCTATCGATTCTCTGAATCCTTGATTCTTCGTTCCGTTCTGAGTAAGACGAATCAGTAGAAGCATTCAAGCTTAACGAACATAACAATTTGGCGACGTGTATATGATTTGAATCCACGCGGTGAAACCCCAATGGATCGCTAATCCAGAAGTCTTGGTAAGATGTAGAAAGTGTATTCTACAGACAACCAGAAGATACTAGGTTCATCAAGCATACACCTGCACACGAGCTCCACAAAGATAAGATTACAAAATGTGAGTTGTGGGACATTAGTGGGGGTGGGCATCAGTTTGATAGGTCGGATATTCTCAGGATCCGGTCTGCGGCCGTCGGCATCGAAAACGAACCCCAAGTACTTTACCGACTGCAAATAAAACTGGCATTTCTCTGAACGTAACCGGAACCCGTTGTCACGGATGCGTTGCAATACCAATGTCGTGCGTTCTCGTAGCTGTTCTAATGTCATCGCTACAATTAAAATGTCATCCAGATAAGCCGCGACTTCCGAGATACCTGGGAAATAGATGGGGCAGTTTTGACCCCGAAAGGTAGACGGTTATACTGGAACGAACCACGGTGGATATTGGTAGTTAGCAGCTCTCGATGCTTCATCTACTTCCACTTGCAAATAAGCATCAGCTAGATCCAGTTTAGCGGAAAACCTTCCCCCACTCAGCATGGTAAATAGGTCTGCGGGAACAGGCAGGGGATAATGTTGTTCCAGAGCTGCATTGAGGCCTGTTGAAAAGTCAGTACATATACGTATCGTGCCGTCAGCCTTCTTGATAACAACTATGGGTGCTGCCCATGCAGAGTAGGAAACGGTAGTAATAACTCCCTGTTGTTGAAGGCGATTCAATTTTTCATCTATTGTTTGTAATGTTGCATAAGACACAGGTCTCTTTGGACGAAAAGCAGGCTTAGCCCCAGTTTTCAATCGAGGCGTTGCTTTAATAGCAGAGCACCGACCCAATTCAGGTTGGAAAATGGTTGAAAACTCCGTCATTAAGTTCCTCGTATATGCTCCCAAGCCATGTGGTTGTTGTCGTAGTTGGGGTTGTGATAACATGTTGCATATGGTATTCAACGGAACATCAGCTAATTTTAACTGATTGAACCAATCTAAACCGAGTAAATTTAGATCAGCTGGCGTTATGTAACATTCCTCAACAAACGCCGAACCACAGAAAGTAACTGTACATTCCATTTGTCCTAGAAGGTAAAGGTAATTACCACACGCAGTACGAGGCTTTTGCATTGTACGCTGCAAGTTTGGGCTGCCCATTCTGGTTCAAATCTTACGTGAGAGGATAGTGACGTCTGAAGCAGTATCTATTTGCAATCTAGATGAATGCCCATTAATATTAACAGTAATAAATTTTCTCTCACCTGGTGATGAGCTTTAACACGAAGATACTAAGCTCAAAGAATTGGTGTGGGATGTAGGAAGGGTCCCTGGTATTTCTGGATTGACTTGGATTCTTTTTCCTCAGACAAAACACATCCTTATGACCGATAACCTTACACTTCTTGCATCCGTGCTGCTTAAATGGGCAGTTTCGAACGTAGTCCCATCCACCACATTGCCAGCAAGGAGTAGGGGGATTCGCTTTAGTCTGTCGTCCCGAGCTGGAGTGGGATGGACTGGATGGAGCAGGGACGTGTTTGTTTTTGTAGGGCATCTGATGCACCGCTCGTACTTCAGATCGGCTAGACCCACCACTCTGGACCATAGAAGTGTCTCGTTGCAGATTAGTGAGGTGTTGATATTCATTAGCTATATCACTCAGGGTGAGTTTCGGCTCTTGATCCAACCGACTTAGTAGCCTTGTTCGTAAGTCACTGAACTTTTGGTGCTGCAGGCTGCAAATGAGGTTCAGGGCTTTAAACTGATCTTCAGTCAAGTACTTTGACCGGGAGCGTTCGCATTCACGGTTGATGATGCCCACATGCGTAAGAAAATCATCATATTCGTTCATAGTTAGCTTCAAGCATTGATAACGAGTATTAAAGTGACGAGTTATCGCCAAAATGTTGGCTTAATGTCTGAACTGTATCTGTAAATGATCGGTCACGTGGGTTCAAAGACAGGATCAGATTGCAATACTTGTCCAGCTCAGTTGCACCCAATTTAAAAGTAGCAGCCGCACTTTCCAAGCATCATCTTGATTGGCGAAATCAAATATAAATAGATCTCCATAACGCCTGAACCACATCTCAAAAGTAACATTAGCATCAGGGTCGTAATGGAATTCATCTATCCTATTTGAGATGCCATCTACTGATGATGCCGTGGTTGAACTAGACGTACTTGGTTGTGAGAGAGGCGTAACCTTAGCCGCTGGTCCTCTATTATGATTATTACAGTGTAGTAAGACTGAGAGTTGATAGTGCCAATTTCGAACTAACTTAACGTCAAAAGTCGTCCAGATGAATCACAGCTACTAATCGTTGATTTGCAGATACTAACAAATGCAACGAAAAGATGTCCAACTGAGGGATGGACTACCAGATGCGATTAGGAGCTTAATTGCTCAAATTATCTTTATTTCATCAGTGGTATCGTAGAGGACAGCTAGTCTGTGTTGTGCGAACTGACGTTGTCTTAGTGACTCTTCACAAGTTCCTTAATATATCATTCACCAGATTATTCTTCGCATTAGCTTAAATGAATTGTACTGAAAGTTACCCACAAGTGTATAATAGCATTATTTTTGCGCC